TATACCGGCACCAACCTTCAGGTCACTAGCAACCGCCGGAAATGCGCGCTTCCGGTGGGGGAAAAATCTGCTCGGCCACGTAGCCGGTCCAGAGGGTGGCAGCGCCGGATTGGCCGGAGCTTGTGGCGTGATCTCGACCCGAGGYCTTGATTGGCGGATCAACGTTGCGTGATCTCGGCGCGTCGTCCTCCGCGCCCCGATGATCTAGGATTCAGCGGAAGCTGGATCGATTTCGGTCATTCGTGTGCGGCTCATAACTCAAGTCGGTCGATATTTTCTTCACTCTCGAAAATTCAAGATATCCAGCTTTAACCGTTAAAATTCTCTGTGTCTCTTTCGTTCGTGTGCTTGTTCAATTATTCTATTGGTCACTTCTGTTCTCTGTGTGGATCACTAGTGAAAAAAAGGAAGTTTCCACTGGCCCTAGTCCGGCGTCGGTGATTGATCAATTGCAGTGGTCAGTAACTAGCCACGCTGCGCGGCCTTTGGACTGAACACCTCCAACTTCCACACAACAACAAACTCTTGACCACATACTTTGGCAGTGTCCTCTATATGAGGAACAACGAAATAAGTTTAAAAAGAGGCTTTACAAAGTTAAACTAGCCCAACCTCTAGCATCTTTTGTTTTGCTCCATTCTCCTACAAGGTATATTTGTAATAGTTTCTGTAATTACCTCGAAGACTGTAATCTTAACTTGTAGGCATGCGATTATAAAGTAATGTACTTATATATCATCTTTTTTCAATAAAATACACAAAATAATCTCTCTTTAGAGATTAAAATTGTTTATATAAAAAAAAAAGGTTATATGAGAGTATAATGTAAAAAATGTATTAGGTTGAGAAGTATGAAAATCGAATGCAATAATGACGCATAATTACATTCGAATTTTATACTTGACAGCCTAATATAATATTGTATAATATTTATTTAGTGTATTTAATGATTGGTAATTAGGTTATATGAAATTTTAATATAAAAAATGTATTAGGATGAGAAGTATGAAAATCGAAGCCAATTTTGTCGTATAATTGCATTCGAATTTCATACTTGACAGCCTAATACAATATTGTACAATAACTATTTAGTGTATTTAATGATTGTTAATTAGGTTATATGAAAGTATAATGTAAAAAATGTATTAGGTTGTGAAGTATGAAAATCAAATGCAATAATGTCGCATAATTACATTCGAATTTTTTACTTTACAGCCTAATATAATATTGTATAATATTTATTTAGTGTATTTAATAATTGTTAATTAGGTTATATGAAAGTATAATGAATAAAATGTATTAGGTTGAGAAGTATAAAAATTGTTATCATTGTTATAATTATTTCGCAAAGTAGTGTTATGAATATGTCGGGTAATTACATTCGAATTTCATACTTAACAGCATAATATATAATTGTATAATAATTATTTAGTGTATTTAATGATTGTTAACTATGCTATATGAGAGTATAATGTAAAAAATGTATTAGTTTGAGAAGTATAAAAATTGTTATTATTGTTATAATTATTTCGTAAAGTATTGTTATAAATATGTCGGATAATTACATTCAAATTTCATACTTAACAGCCTAATATTTTTTTTTTTGTATTTAAAATAATAATTCCCTTTCGGGATACATGAGGTGCGCCGACCCGTTTTAATATAATACATCTTTACAAATATACATTTTTACTGATACACCTATACACGAGTACACTTTTATTAACTTCTTCTTACTACCACATCCTCTTAACACCGCTATCTCCTTTTACATAATTCTTTCATCCATTCCATTCCCTTTTCTTCCTYTCCAATCAACACTTCTATCCTCTCTTCCRTTTCCGAATAGTTRCATTCCCTCATCACATGCATTCMTGTCTCTTTCTCTATCCCACACAATCTGCACATAATCTTCTCATCCTCTTTTATCCAGTATCTGCTTGCCCTCCATTCATTCCCTAATCTGAATCTTGCCATCATTTTCAATTTTTTCCCTTTACTTTTTTCTTGCAGATATTTTGGTATCCCTTCTGTTCTCCATCTTCCATATTCCCTGTTGTACTTTGATTCTTCTATCCTTTTCTCCCTTTCCTTTCTCTTCACCACTTCTCCCACTTCTCCTCTCCTTTTCTACCACTTTATTTCTCCATATCTCTGCCACATTCTGTCCATTATCATCTCTTACCTCTGCTTCCCATCTGTTTAGTCCTGCTCTTTCATACATTATTTTCCTTAATCTACCTATTCTCGTTTCCTCCTATTTCTCCCTATCCATCTCTCTCCAGCAATGTCTCAGAAGTTCATTTTCCGGCCTCTAAATCTTTTCTTCATACTTAATCACCCTTACTCCTGCTTCCACTGCTATTCTTTCCACCTTCGTTTCCTCCCTTATCAAATATCCCGATACACTTAAATCCAGTCCTAGTATATTCCTTAAGTACCTCTCCTGTATTCTTCTCAACTCCTTCCTCCCCTCTATCCCCCAAATTTCCACTGCATACATGAATATACTCTTTACTATCGCATTGAACATTATCATTCTCCTCCTAAAGTCTCCACCTAATTTCCTCTCTCCAATGCTCCATACTTGTACCATAGCTGCTGCTGCTCTCCTTCTTACATCCTGAATATGCGACTCTTCCTTGTTATTGTACCTAAACGTGTATCCCAGATACTTGAACTCCCTTACCTCCTCTATCTCTTTCCCATTATAGAACCACTCTCTTTTCTTTCTGCTCCTTCCCTTACTGAACATCATCACCTTCGTTTTTTCCGCATTTACTTCCAGATCCTTCCTCTTGCAATATCTCCCAACGCTTTCCATTATTTTTTCTAATTCCCCCTCCGTCTCCGCTATTATCGCCAGATCATCTGCGTACGCCAAGGTGTATATTCTCTTCCCTCCTATCGTTATTCCTCCCTCCTGTCTTCTCCGCAAATATTCCTCTATGTCCGCAATAAATATAATAAACAAGAGTGGGCTCAATGGACACCCCTGCCTCACCCCCTTCTCCGTCCAAAACTCCTCTGTTATCTTCTTCCCTACTCTTACCCTGCTCTTCGTTTCTTCATATATTTTCCCTACGTTGTAAATTATATCTTTACCCACCATCTTTTTCTCCAAGTAGTCCATCAATTTCTCCCTATTTACCCTGTCAAAGGCTGCCTTCAAATCTACAAACATTACGAAAAGCTTTCCTTTCTCTTTGTTTATTGCCTTTTCTACTGCCGTCTTAAAAATATATATATATTATCTATTCCCCCTCTACCTTTTCTAAATCCTGATTGTGTTTCTGGAATTAATTTTAACCTTTCTGCATCCTCCCTTAATCTCTTTTCCACTATCGCTGCATATATCTTGTATGCTATACACATCAATGTCGCTCCTCTATAGTTACCTACTTCTTTTCTATCTCCCTTCTTGAAAATTGGACATACTATTCCTTCTTTTCATTCTTCTGGCCACCCTTTACCTTTCCATATATCATTTATGATTTTTCTTAATTTCTCCCTAACCTCCCTACTCGCATATATCCACACCTCATTTCTTATCCCATCTACACCCAGATTTTTCTTTTTCTTCAGCTTCCTTATTGCTTCTTCCACTTCTCCTATCTCTATTTCCTTCGTATCCTCTCCTTCTATCTCTATCCCTCTCTCCTGTCGTTTCCTCTCACCCGCCCCCACATATTGCTTCATAAAGTGTTGTTTCCATTCCTCCATTGTTATATTCTCTTCTATCCTTTTTTTTTTACCTCTTTCTCTTCAGATGTATCCCCAAATCTCCCTCTTATCCTATATTTCCATAATCTTCCTAATTTCTGTTTTCCTATATGCCTCCTCCTTATCTTTGCATTTTCTCTTGTGTCTTTTCCTTTCCTCAACATATTCTATCTTTTCAACTTTTCCCTCCTTAAATCCTCTCAGTTTTCTATTCAGGCTCGTTTTACTTTCTCTACATTCTCTATCCCACCATTTCYTCCTTTCCTCTCCCCATTTACCTGATTCTATTCTCTTTTTTGTTACTGCACTATTTATTTTCTCTATCAATTCTACTAACTCTTCCTGCACTCCTTCTTTACCTAACTTTAAACCTTCTAGCTTTTCTCTAAACTTCCCTATTCCCTCCTCTGACCAGTCTTCTATTTCAATCCTCTCCTTTTTCTTTCCTTCCTCTAGACTATCCACTATTTTTTCCCTTATCCTTATTTCTATCAGCATGTGATCCGATTCTGTTCTCTCTCCTATCTGCATTTCCTCT